CGACCTGGGGCAAACTTTTGCCTCATTTTGAGAGAAGGTTGAAATTAAGATTTCCTCTAATGACTGTTACACTTATTTTTTGGAAAGTACTTTGAAACAGCCACATGAAATGTATGAGAGATGTGTATAACTGTAATAGCCATCATTTTAGTGGCCATCATTTAATTTAGCCATCATTTAATAGCCATCATTGGATTTGTAATGATTTTACCAGTGATGAACATTTCAGAATATAGAATAACAAAACTATAACTTTTAGAAATTGATTTTTGTTAATATTAAAATATCCAATCATACTTTTAAATATTTATACTAAATGAAGAAAAAACTTATTATTCAGCTGTAATTTTTGCTACTTAATAACAGCATCATTATAAATAGAAAAGCCCTTTTTTATCATTATCTTGTATAGTAAATAAGTTTATAAAATAAGATACAAGCAGGTGATTGGTTTCATGATTTCTCAAGTCTGTTATATATTTGTGCAGTTTTGCTCATTCAAACTGTGCACACCAGCATAGCATTACTTAGGTCATGGATAAATGATAGAAATTCAAAACCCCCAACACATTACTTAGATGTGAAACTTAGCCAAATATGCAGTTTTGTGAGTTAAATTCAATAACAATAAATCGTGCATCTCCTGATAAGTGATTGAGGAAAGATTTTATATGAATTTTGTAATTAAAAATTGCAAGCACTGAAAGTACTGGAAAGTACTGAAAACCAAATATATCATTTGCACTTCCACACTGGGACACACTTTCAGTAAGGAAAAGAAGACTGGCTATAAAACCAAATCCTAGTTAAGTTTGTTTAACTCTAGTTAGGATATGAAAATAATTTTCTAAACATTTTTCACGAAAAAATACTGGATTTCTTCCAAAAGAAAATCTGTATTTAGATTAAAAGCATTGCTTGGAAGTGAATAACTTTCTTCAGGAAACTTTACGTGAAAGCAATTCCTTTCTAACTTTACTTTTACACTGGGCAGGGGGTGTGGTGGAGTACATAGCCATATTGTTCACATGTCTTCTGTATATGCAAGCTGGTGGTAAAGCCAGCACAAGGTGAAAAACTTGGAAAAGTTCCTTATGATTGTCAAAAATCGTAATTTAAACTGAATAACAAAATTAAATTTTCACAGTAACTTTTATTTTTGCCTTGTCCAGTGGGTTGCATTTTCTAGTTGCTCTCTGCCACCATGAGGGCAAAAATTTACTTTCCCTGGACAAACTGCAAACTTAACCTCACCAAAGAGCTGAAAAGTTGTCAGGATTTGGTATCCCTCATAAATACATGCTAATACTCTGAGCTGCATCAGTAGCATGGTTAAACTAAAAGCTGCTGGTGAAAGTTTTTGGCCTGGTTTCCATCTGGCTTCTCAGTGCTTGAGAGGAAAATAAAGACCCTTAAAACTTCTGTTGGAAGCATCTCACAAGAAGAATGAGATGGTTTATCCTGTGCAAACAATCACCATTAACTCAGCCCCAAACCCAAGCAGTACATACTGTTTACATTTAAGATACCATCTTCTGTATGGTGAATACAAACGGGGGAGCACTCATGGAGCACAGCATTTGGGAGCTATTTAAGTCTTTATGTACACACAGATATGTTTGCCTGATATAATGTGGGGTTTAGCCTCTTGTGCTGCTTACCAGGTTATAGAGGCATTTTCACAGACATTTGATAAGGAGTGACGTGCCATGGTTTTGAAGATCTTATCCTACAAACAAATAACTATGAATTGTGTGTATTCACCATAGGAAGGAAATAATAATTTAACTGTGTGAAGGTGAACTTGAACTCAGGGGTGTTGCACAATAAGTCATTATCTTTATAGTAAATAAATTGTCCTCTGCACTATGAGTTTAAGGAATTTGTTGCCACTGATGCAGTTTCACTGTTGCCCTTCTTTGCAGTGAAGTAACTTTTCCACCTTTCTCCTTAAAACTCTCATTTGTCTCTGCCCTTCTACTGCAGCTGTGGAGCAATGTCTGGTTTACTTTAATTGTGCTCTTCAAAAAGCAGCTTTGTGCTTTGAGCATTTCCTAATAATTGTATTTTGTACTCATGCTAGTGATATGAAAAAGAAGCTTGAAAAGGGTATATAGTAGTATATAAGTAAACAAGAGTTTTTCAATGACTTTCTTGACTAATACGTCAGAGAGTTTAATGTGAATTTAGTTCCCTCCAGTAATTACCTTAATGGTGGATAATTCCTGTCTGGGAAAGCCACATTAGAATCAGTTTCATACTCAGATACAAGCAAGTTTCATGGGTATGATTACTAAATAGTGAAAAGATCATATTTCAAAACCTTTAAGGAAGTCTTGTATCCCATGGCACTGTTTGTGCAACTAAAAGCCATTGGAATTGACCTCTTTTGCACACAGTAATGTGGCTAGCCTAGTTAATGTTTTTTATTGCAAATTCAGTGAAAATTAGAAGGTGTATTCAAATACTGGATTTTCCCTATGTACTGCATTAGTTAAATATAACATTTGCAGAATTTCAGGATATATTTAGTACAGGGATTATGTATTTTGTACAATTGCCTTGGAAGCCCTTAGTAACAAACTGGTAATGGTCACAGGAAGAATAAAGTGGCTTAAAGTGTTTTGCTTATTCAGTAAATATCTATGAATTCAGTAAAGATTTCTGAAAACACTGTAAACTTCTTTGAAGTTTTTATTTTTGCTATCCATGGTTTAAAGCATTTCTCTCTTAAATGCATGCCAAATTTCCAGAGTCTGTAATGGTGTCTGTAATTTATAATAAAGAGTGCAGCTTCTTCTACATGCAATGCCATCATGAATCACTCCACCAATGGATACCTCTTTATTTCGAGCAAGAGGGGTGTTCATCTGAGCACTGCTGAGGTCACAGACACCTGAAGGGAAGCATCTGATGAAATTATGTAAGTGTGCCCAAAATATGTGTTCTCATGGAATTTTAGAGCAGGCCAAACACAAACTTTTGTGTATTTAAACATGTGTAATATTCTAGTTTTGCTTTCACATGGCTGTGTTTTTCAATAAGCTGTTTTCAGCATTGCTTTCACCCAGAGCATCGAGCATGGTGTGACTGGTGCTCCCAGTTGCAGCTTCGTGTTGTTTTGTTCACACCACACAGGGGCTCCCCAAGGTCTTGGATCAATTCCCAAGGAAAACCTGTGATATATATGATGATTTCATGGATGCAAAAGACGCAACCCCCACTACCATGCCTGGTTAAGTAGTTAACTGTGAGTTTTAAGGATGTTTACATGCTCAATGCTGTCTGTATTTTAGTGTTGGTTTCATTTTTATCAGCAGCCTTTGGTGGCCAAATCCATCCCACACAACCAACAAATGCATATTTTGGGGCAAACTGGCGTTTTTGTGAAATTCTTCTAGTGATGATAGACAGGGAAGATACATTCCATGAATCAACTCCCAGTAGTTTCACCAAGCACCGAATTAAATTAATGTTTCTTATTCTTGTCAGTTTGCTTTCCCACAACAAATCAGAAACTGTGCTTTTTAATTAGAAATTTCTAGATCCAGTCTTTAGATTTTGTATGGATGAAATTCTGCCAAAACAGAGGGAAAATGTAGATCTTAATATTTTAGATAAAAATTTAGTGGGTATCATTTTGATGACAGAAAAATGTCCTACACTCTCTCCCAAAATCTAAAAGGTAAACGAGTTGTAAGTAAAAGAAAAAATATGTAATTTATAACTGTTATTCGAGGGAGGGGGAGGAAGGGGAGGAGAGCAACAGCAAGATTTAGAATTAAAGAAAATATTCAATCTTTATCAGTTATGATAATCATGAAAATTGATATTTTATGGAGAAAATTCCTCATGCTATTAAGTTTAGTCAGGAATTAAATTTTGCTTGATATTTATGTGGGTTTTTTTCTTGTGATATACTTTTTCATTCTTTTATTTTAAATGACATTAAAAGAATCTAATCTTCTGTATTGAAATAAAATTCATAATTAATAATCTAAATAAATATTTTGTTTTCAATTCTGAGAATTAATGTGTAATCATCCCCTTTAATGAATTAGACCCCTTTGAGGATGGAGCTTGTCATTAACACACATCATCAGCTGATGCATTTTAATAATACATAGAGTTGGAAGAGAGAGGAAGTGTGAGCTACTGAAGCTTGCAAAACCAATCCCCTAAAGCTTTCATGTTTTATTTGAGCATATGTTTTGGAAGTGGTGGTGTTGACACTGGTGGCACTAATCTCCTCTTTATCTTGTTTTGATTAAAAGGATATTTGAATATTATTTTTGGCAAACTTTTATCTAGCCTCAAAGGGGTTCCCTTGTAGCAGCTACAGAGCAATGGCTATAATAAACACATTCTATGATACACTTACATCACACATTATAGCCACTGCTGGTGTACTCCAAGAATGCAAAATACTCCTGAAAAAAACCAAATGAGCTTGCTTTCAAAGCCAAGCGTGTGAAAATGTCAAATTATGCTCTTTTTTGTTTGTTTGTTTGTTTGTTTTGCATACCAAGCTGTGTGAATTGCTTCTGCTGTATGAAGGAAACTGTGCATTAGATTATTCAATAATTTAGTAATCTAATATGTGGTTAGGAGACAAAAGGTTACAGGACCTTTATGATGGATATTTTTATCTTTTATAAAAGCACACATCCTCTTTTCTTTACATCTCTTTTATCACCTATCAGACTGGATTAACATTCAATTGGGATGTTATTTATTTTCACCCTACATGTTATTAACTGTATAAAACTTAATTTTCAAAATACACAATAAAAATATTTTTTATCATTTTGCTTTACAGAATGTGCAGTTGTGTATAACTGTCCCATGGACTGTGAGCACAGTGCAGATCCTTACATTCTCAGTCACTGCAGGACAGCTTAAATGCTTCATACTTTTGATAAAGTATCACAGTCAGGGAAGACCCCTGACTTCTGCTGTCCTTTTGCCATTTTTTGACTCTAAAGCAAAGAGAAAGGAGATCATCTTGTCTATGTATTTGTGAATGGCAAAATGTAATCAGCACCTCTGATTGCTGAGGTGCCACATCCAGCCTCAGGTCTCCATTTCAACATTCAGCAGTATCAGCTTCTCTTCTTCATCCCTGTGGATGTGTATATAAATAATATTGAGTGGTTTAAGAGCTTGCTTTTCACAGACCCCATGCAGCTTATTTGGTTCTTAAATATGGATTAAAGTGTCTAATTTTGGGTTTTAAATTGCATATACACTTCTAATTGAGAGAAATGGGATTCACAGTTGGTCAGTAAAACCAGATCACTTTTTTATGCAATTAATTTCAGAAAAGCCATTTTAATTACCCAGAGCAGAAACACGCCCCCACCTAAAGCCTGCAGTATGGATTTGTTGATACTGGGTCTCATTGCTCAAGGAAAAAAATAGAATTCTGGAGTGTAATATGGTGAAATTATTGGTTGCAATTTATTTTTTTTTTCATCTTCTCACCATTGTATTTCTGTGATTTTTCAAATAATTTATATCTCATCTGAATTACTTACTATTTTTTTTTCTTCTTCCAAAGCTGCACATGACTCTCCTGTTAGTCATCTGCTTTTTCACAGATGGGACCTTCTTTCTGTTTTTTAACCACTCAGGACTCACAGAGGGTGATTCTGTGATTCCACTGGCTGACGCTTCTCTGCATTTGGCACTTCCACAAAACCCTTCTTTTTTGAGAAGTTCAAAGTTCATGTGATCTTGTTGTGGTTTTTGTTCTTTTTGGAAAGCTCTGTCTGGGGAATGGCTGCTGGTTACATTCAGGTATTCAGGTCACATATGTTGCTGAGCTTCTCTGTGTGTACACAATGGTCATGCAGCTTCTCTTTGCAGAATGTTGCCTCCAACTCTCCAGCTTTTGTCCTTGCTGCTCTGAGTCCTGGATTAATTCCACTGGCAGAATGTTCAGTTGTTCTGGTTCCCTACATTGTTCTGTCTTGTTTGTTATGTGGCTGTAATTGTGCTCCTCCTCAACACGCATGTCCTCAGAGTCAGAGTTCGCATGAGCTTGCTCTGGATTTTCAGACATTAGAGGAAAATGGTCAGGTTTTCTGCTTCTATACATTTATATTCCTTCTCCTCCGGTACATCAGAGAAGTCCTGTTCCCCATTAGAAAGTACATTCTTGAGACTCTGACTGAACATGTTGTTCTGCTCCTGGTTGTTCAGGGCTTTTTTAATATTATTCTGAAGAACAAACCCACCAAGTGTTTAGGTCAGCTTTGTTGTTCAGATTGTTGCTGTTCAGTGCTTGATTCTTCATGGTCTGCTTTGTATGGAGCAGTGTCAGTTCTCCCAACATTCTGCCATTTCTAGTGGGTTTTTTTATTTAATAATGTCACTCAAAACTGAAGAATTTGGGGTTGCTGGTCCCAAAGAATATTGTTCTCCTATGAGGGGGAAGTGGCACATTCCAAATTGGTGTTCAGAAGGAATGCTGAATGCCTGGTGGTTGCAAATACTTTTGTCCACTCCTCTAACCCAGGTCTCAACATCTTAACTAGCAATGCCTTGGAATTAGACACTGAACTTGAGTCCTCTCACTGTCTAAGTGATCCTTGACTTCATCATCTGTGTAGCAAAGACCATGTCAGTCTTTAAGAACCTGTATTAAGTCATGAGACCCAATATGGACTGTCATGTTAAATATCAACAGTGCTGCCCTCCCTGAAAGTAGCAAACCCAGCAGTTGGTTAAATGTCCAGACAAGCTGCAGTCCTGAGGACATTTCATCTCTTCTTTATTGGCTGTTATCACTGCTAACTCCTTGCTCCACATGCTGCCTTTGTTCAGACTCTCAAACCCAGCACAGAGGAGGAGCAGAATAAACACACTTGGTTTGATGGAGATGGTGACACCGAGAAGAGAGTTTAAGGATATGTTAATTTTCAAGTACTTTACCATGATTAAAAATTAGTTCACATTAAAGTAAGAGCTATGACTACTGTCTGAACTTTGTAGGGCTTTGTAGGAGATTATATTGAGAGCCTTTCCACTAGTCTCTGTCATATTGGTTGAGTTGATGCCTATAAAGCATTCAAAAATCATATTGATGAGCATTAGAAAAAGGGTTTGTTTAGATTGATAGATTCCCTTATAATAACATTCATAACAAAATTCTTAGTATTTACAGAGTGATGCCTTGGCTTCTCAAAGCTTCTTTATAGAAATCTCTGTTGTTGGGTAGTTATCCTTTTGACATGAAAGGGTCTGCTGGCATCCTTCTAGGAACAGTCGTTTTACAACTTACTTATCTACTCCACAAAGATGCAGATAAAATATTTGCTCTTCCTGCAACTCTTCTCTTCACAAGTCATGGCTGTCTTGGAAATTACCAGATCCTTGAATTGTCTAAATGAATCCCAACCTAAATTTTGGCCCAATAAAGCTTTTTCTTATTTTTTTAACCTTTCAGCTGATGTACAAGAATTAGGTGTTTTATAGAACACGTATATGGTTTAGACCAGTCATAAAACCCAGTGAAGCTACCTGGAAGAAAACAGAAGTGATAGATGGTTTTCTGGCTTCTATTCAAAACTCTTATTATGTTGTGGAGTACTTACTATGAATGCTTGGCAACAAAAAGGCAGAGATCCTATATTATACAAATACTTAAAAGCCTGTGCCCAGAGACAAGAGAATGAAAAAAGAGGTGGTTTTATACACATAGTCTCCACTCTCTCCTTCACCTCTCCAGGAAAGTAGTTATGACATAATAGGATTTGAAGGTTACTCTTCAAATTTCCTTTCACCTTCAAGTGAGTAACCCATGTCATGCATCACAAGGAAAGCTGTCCTCTTGACATGCAGTGATGCAAAAATGGCTTGAAATGAGTCTTTCTGTTAGAAAGAATTGGAAATCAGACTTGGAAAAGTAAAACTTAATTTATCTGCTTTTTCTTGCTTAAATTTTCAAGCCATCATGCAGGTTAAGAAAAACTGAGTTTATAACAGTTTATTGTGTATAACAGCACACAATAGCTTTGAAGGCCTCTAGTTTAAAATTTGCCTGGGTAAAAATCAGTTGTCTCTTTCTGTCCTTGCATCATTATGTTGTTTTCTTGCTGGGAAGCAAGAATGTTATATTATTCCAAAAATATTAACATTCAATCTCTTATGTTAAATTGTTCAATTAATATAACAAGTAAATATTTGGGGGAAGGGGTTGTCCTTGCCAGAGCCTTTTACAGCCTCAAAAGATAATTGGGCTGGGAAATAAGACTGCTTGAAATATTTAAGAACAAATGCATGTGTGGACAAAGGTGTTTACTAGAAAGAATTAGTAATCTGACAAAATGTATTTTAAGACTGTTGTAGCTGATTTTTGATACGGTTCTTTCCAGCACAAATTTGTATTATAATTGCAGTTAATTGTTTAAAATGCAACTTTAAGTTAACTAAAGATGAACCTGATATATTTCCTTTTTATTCTCTGTTGTCCCTTTTCAAATCATATTTATGTACATTAATAGCAGCCGTCCTCCTTTCATCTGGTTAGCACAGCAGTACACTAACTCTGTAATTTACTGACTTTAATACCAGCTATTTCTCCCTGGATATTGGTCCATGGGCATAGAATTCTTTGAAAAAGTAACAATAATGAAAGAAATGAACAATATGAGTTTTACATCAAGAATTTCCTTACTAGTCCTCTAATAGCTGTGAAACAACTGCAAAGCATTATCTTCTGTAATTTCTTATACCTTTCTTTCCCTCATAATAAAGGGTCCTTTGCTCTCAAAAGTCTTTTCAGTAATAGGTAATTGCAGACCATGGTTAGTCTTCTTTTGGTTGAGCTTTGGTCTTTTGTTGGAGTATGGGAATGTCAGATCAAATCTCTTCTGACTCTTGTTTGCCCCTCTCTTTTGGAAACCAGTACAGGATAGAGATAGCCAAAAGTAATATTGCTGATAAATTCAGAGGGGATAAAAGAACTGAAAAGAATGTTTGAGAAGCATTTCATCTAGTCTGTATGTCTTATTTAGATCTGGAGTGAATCCTTCATCATGGCCCCACCTCTCAGGAAGGATCCATCCAAGGTGGTGTAACATAAATTCCAAGAAAACTCCTTTCCTGAATAAATTAATGAAGAGAACTTTAGGACTACAGAGTCCTGAAGTTTGGTGATATCCAAAACACAGGAAACCAGTTAAAAGCTAGTGATAGTGGTGGCCTGAAGTGGGAAAAAGTCATAGAGATTATCAGCCTGAAGAAAGTAATAGAAGCTTTTAAAGGCTGTAACTTGAACTGGAGAGGTTCTATGAGCTGTTGTGTCTTTTATTGCAAAGTAAACAGGCTTTTTATATTATTACAAAATCTTTTGGCCTCACCAAGGAAGAGTTACATTTCTCCTTTAGTGTTTATTTAAATAATGAGCTATAATGAGTCTATTTTAGTCTCAATTTTAAAGTGCTCTCCAAGAAGGAACAAAACCCAATAAATATTTCTCAGTCTTTCTCAGTGGTATATTTAATGCACTGAAAACTGCCCTTAATTGTACAGCAATCAAAAGTTTTCACTATATTTCCATGCAGGAGCTAAAAATTCTGACAAAATTAAGAGGGGTGTTTGGTTTTAGATAGAATTGCATCTCTCTTCCATCTCAGCATCATTAAAACAAAACCAGCGATAGGAATGGAGTCAAATTCTTACCATTACATCTGAACTATTGCAAAAATCCAAGGACAAATTTATTTTATTTTGTACTGGCAAATATTTTCCCCTACTAATTTTGTGGGAGTGTTGTTTCTCCCTACAAGGAATAAATTGCACATTCTGGAAATAAGTTATTCTGAAGTTCAGAATTCATGAAGCTGTTCCAGCAGAGAATGGATACGGAATTGCAGCAAAATCTCAAGGTCACTGGGAATATTCTTTGGGGTATTCTTATGTGGCTTATCTGTGCTCACATGCCTAATTTTTTTTTCAGTGCAAAGAATAGCCACTTGCAGAGAATGGAAGCCTT